CGACTAACCCAATAGAATTTTTGAGTACAGTTCCAGCGAAATAAAACAGAAAATAAAAAAATGTATTTATGTCCGTCAGTTCGTTTATTTGCCTAGTTACAAAATTGAAATAACATTTGAAATTTGATAAACAAGTCAATCTTAATGAGAAAACTTTATGAGAAAATAGAAAGCCGATAATACTCACTTGAAAGACTTGTTACATTCACTTTTTGCTCATATTTATAATTTTTCTGTAATTCACAGTTGTTCCAAGTTTCTTTATAGTATGGGGCAGTCCTGGACAGTTCCTTCATAGTTCCAACTTCAGTTTTTAAAATTCTCTCGCGAACTTCTCCGAACATTTTGTTAATGGTATTTTGTCCGAATATCGATGTAACAGCTCCGAATAAATTTCTTGCTCAGTGTATCACTTGATGGCGTGCGATGCTGTCAGGTAAATGGAGAATTTCCATTTCTAATCTATACTTTTGCTTGGCTTCGTGGTAAAGTTTTTATCTAAGCCAAAGAAATCTAGCCTATTCAGCGCCCCAAGAAATGATATAGAACGAAAAAGTGTTGTAGAAGAGTTTTGAACAATTTAAGTTATTTAAGAGAAATTTGCTCTTTTACAATTCACTTCATCCGAATTTCTTGTGATTCCAATTTCATACTTCCGAATGTGTAAAGAAAAAAACTTTGCTTTTACAAGCACAAGATAAATGAATTCATTACAAATTTTTGCAAAAAAAAAAATAAAATTTATTTTTTTTACCTCATTCTTATTAAGTTTTCAACCATTGAATTATCGATTGAATTATCCTTTACATATAAAAATACACAAAATGTTAACATCCTCCGCAAAAAAGCAAGAACAAAAACAATAATATTAACGATGATCATTTCCAAATTCGAATATATGTGTGTAAGTGGATATATGAGAAAATATCACAAGGACAATAAAATACAAGTAACGTTATAAGGGTACAAAATATTGTCGAAAATTTATTTTCTGGTCGGTCAGAAAAATAAAAATTCGGTCAAATGAAAATTTATTTTGTTTTTTTCTTATTTTTATATACGCGACATTGGTTTTTTTTTTTATAACATCACTTTAAATGCCCACATATAACACGGATATTGTTCATATACTTATTAGTTTTGTGTGTACCTACACAACAAGAGAGTGTATGTAATGTGATTCATTTTTCAAGGATAATCAACCTTTAGATATAATATTATTATTGTAAAATTCACCTTTAACACTTGAGTTACATTTCGGTCGTAAATATTTTCTGTAAATATTTTTACGCTTTTTTTTTTTTGGTTTCACAATGCTTATATTATATAACGTCATTCGTTATTATGTTTTTTTGGTTTTTGAACGGTAGAAATCATTGTAAAAGTTTTGGTTTTTTAATTTTTTTCCTTGTGTATTTTTTCTTTGATTTGAGTGTTGTTATGGTTACCCTTTTTATATTGAACTTATTTGTTAAAGTTCCCCTTATACGTATACTGTATTGGTAAATTCTTAAACGTCAAATTTTACAAAATCTGAGTTGTCTGAGTTTACGGATACTCTACTACGTCTTTACTCTCAGTCAAAGTTTAAATTCTTAAACGTTTAAAAAAAGTCAATTAAGCGTCAAAATTGTAGGTTTTTTTTTTTACATGCAGACAGTCTGACGTAGTAATTCAGTAAATAAATTTGATGTGTTGAGTGACTATCATTACGTTAAAAATAATATAAAAAATATTTTTATTGTTAATTTTTAATATGTAAGTATAAAATTATTTTAAATCTAAAAAAAAATTTTTTTTTGTTTTGACGTTTACGGATGATCAAAATTCAAAGTCAATTACGGGTAAAAAGTTTACTAGATTTCTGTCCGTAAAAGTTTTAGTTTCAGACAGTTTGCAGACTAAAATCAAAATTTTGACGTTAAAGAATTTGCGGTAAGCACTCTTTTTTCCAATTCAGAATTTTATTAACGAAAAATTATGTCAATGTTTTTTAATTTCTGATTCATTACATGAAATTCGAGAATTTTTAAGAGAAAGAATAATGTGAAAAAAGGTAGCGGAATTAATTCAACTTTTGACCTTTTACTTGTCATATAAATAAATTTTGAAATGTTGTCAGTTTTCAAAAAGCTAGAGAGTGAGAGATTTCTTAAAGTTGACATTTTGATTTTTTTATATTAATGTTGCTTCTCTGAAATAATGTGATTAAAAGCTTTTCATTATACACGCGCACAAGATTTCTTTTGTATAAAAATGATTTTCTCCGAAAGTAGTGTATTTAATGGAAAGTGAGGTGAAACTCAAATTTGATTCTTCAAAAAACTTCCATTAATTTTTCGTGTATTAATATTCTGTTTTTTAATATTTTAGGTAATAAAAAGCAATGTGTGACACGCAAGTTAATTTGTGTTTCAAAAACAACATGAAGCGGAAACTTCCACATTTAGAAGTATTTTGGCGACCTAGAGGTTTCCGTTATATGTACGTTTTCAATGTTTCAGCAACATTCAACTATTTAAAATAATTTATGTGATAACTTAAGCGCAGTGGGTGACATCATACAATTGAATTTGTAATTTAAATACATCATGGTTCGAGGATTCAGGATTGAGCATACGAATGATTTGATTAAAACTAAACCAATATAAAACGGAAACTTCCCAATTTAGAAATATTTTTCCGATTTTGTAATTCCTATGTACACGTTTTCATCTGTATAATCAACATTCAAGTATTTGATTGTGACAATTACATTAATTTGCTTATAAGCAAAAGAAATATTTATGATTGTACACCTGGTGATCCATGATTGTATAGCTGGTGTTTTCTTTTTTTATTGATTCATATGCAAGAGCTCAATTCATCGCATTCCAAAAGGATTTCGTGGGGGGAAAAAAGGTACTAAAAATTGTTACTACGTATTATTCAATTCTTTTGTGAAGAAATTTTCGGGATTTTTTAAAATCATTTGGAAAACAATATGAAAACAAAAATTAAAATTTATAATAGCTGATAATCACGTCCTTACATCGCTAGTTGTAATCGATGTTATGAAAGAACATACGTCAAAAATTTTATTACAACAAATTTACATATCAAACATGGTCGCGTTTAATTGTAACAAGGTGCTATTAATAGCAGTAAAAAGATAATCCAGCTATATTTAATAGGAAAATCATACAAAAATTATAGTAACCAAAATTGTGTACGCACATTAATTTTATCCTTTCCTATATAAAACAAACATTAATTTTAGTTTTGAAACTTTATTGTATACATTTTTATATTTGTACATCTAGCCATACTTACGTATATTATGAGTAATAACATACATGATTTAGTTGATGATTATAACTAATGGGCTTCCTTTTTCATCACAATCTAGGTCCTATCCTTATGTAATAAATAGAATTTAAGAATAACAACAGTGTTTGGTGATAATTCATTTTTGAATATATTGGATCTATCGTCCGTGAAAAAAAGGATGCTCAGTGTATACATGAAGAAATGTTTTAGTTTTATAAAAAAAAATTAGATAGGCAAAAAAAAAAGGGTTAGGTCCTGAATATTTAATATTGAAAGGATATTTTTAGTATAAAATGCATATAGTTATGTACATACATATACAAATACATTTTTTTCTTTCCATTCTAATTCAAACATCAGTTGGGTTGAAAATTTTTAATAAATTACAAAAGGGAGTAAGTTTCATGTATGTTTATAAATTTTACTTAAATTAGAATTAAAATTAAAATATTAGTAATGGACAGTTTTTTTATAATATATTAATGTTACATAAATAAAATATTATATATGTACATAAAAGCTTTATAGTTAAAATATAAGCATATTATGGAATAGTGAATAGAAATATATGACGAGTGTGGAAGTGAATTAAATAATTGATTTTAAGTAGGTAAATATTCCAAAAAGAGGTATATAGAATTTTTTAAGTCAGGAGTTCTGTTGCAATGTTTTTGAGTTAACATACCTCGAAGGGCAGATATGCTAAATAAAGTTTTATTAAAGGTGGCATTGGGTTTAAAATCGTATTGTTTAGCACTCAAAATAGGAATATAACAAAAATATGTCAATCACATTTTAAATTGTTTTTTATAAAGGGAAAATATCCTTGCACTCTGAGCTTAATTAGAACTGAAAAATATACAAAAAATTTCAATATGAAAATTTTTTGTGAAACACATTTTATTTAAAAATTTTATTTTAATTTAGTATCCATTAAAAACACAAAATATCAAAATTATTTGAAAAATTATTTAATTTTCCATAGATTTTGTACAGAGAAAGTGTAAAAGGGTAACTTTAACTTTTGACCTTATAGAAATAAAATTTATTTTGGTTTTTTTACCACAACATAAATTGACCTAATTAACTTGAAAATTTTGATCCTGAGTACACAAAAACCTATAAGTACAAAGAAAAAATTTTGTAACCTTTTTTCTTTCTCCTTCCATTATGAACATTATCAATTTGTGTTTTATTTTAAATAATCAAAAATGTGGAAGTGCGGTTTCTGAGGTCATCACATAAATCACTTTTTTTTTTGAAGAGTAATTCCCTGCTCTCATTCTTTTTATTTAATAATATAATTTATATTTAATAATATTTAATATGAATTTGATGGTAATTTAAAAATTTCTTTTTTTATTTACAATTTTACCTGTTTTAACCGAAAAAATTTTTTAATGGAGAAATTATTATAAGGAAAATATGTTAACTGACCTGTAAAGAAAAAAAAAAGCGGAAATAAAATATTATTATTGGAAACTATGTTAGGAAATGAGGAATTACTTAATTTTATAAAAATATAATAAAAATGATCAAAATAGAAGAAGCGAAGTAGTTAGTCCACTGCCATACGGCAACATAAATTTTTTAGAACGTTCGAGATTTGTAATATCAAATTTTGTTAGATTTTTACATAATGGTTGCTGATTTTTCATTTTTATTTTTGTTTTTCTTTTTTAGACAAAGGATCCTCGATGCATTTGTATTAATATTTTACATCAAAATAAATCAAAAAATGAGAAAAGCTATCCCGTGATAAACCACAGAGCCAGGACCGTAAACCACGATAAACCACAGTGCAAGGAGCCGTTTTGCTTAATATTTTTAAGGATGCTTTTGATCTCAACCTCAACAAATCCCTCATCTATCGCATCCCGAGCAATTAAGAGTTTTAAACTGTGTAAGTTGCCTCTGAATTCGTATTTTATACGTAGATTAAATGTAGTATTTTAAGTGAATTTAAATTCGCATCCCATTATAGAACAATAACCGCTAAGGGCTTAAACAATTTTCACTATTTTGATCTTTCTTTTTCTTGTTTTGTTTTTAAGTTGAAAAATATATTTAAAAAAAATTTCAAATATTGTAAAGATTGACCGAAAAAACTCGAGAACTTTGGAAAATTTTTTCTCACCTTGTTCCGTTGAACTTTTATATTAATGCAGTATAAATTGAATAGCTTCGTTTTGTGTTTTGTTCAAAATTCTAAAAGGGGGAGAATTAATTAAATATTTTTACAATTTCATTTTTTATAAGAATATTTTAGGGGAAAGTAATTTCTTTGAGAGAATTTTTTTTAAGTCTTTATACAATGGCCTTTTGAATTTAGTTCACATAAAAGGCGTTAATTTTTTTTGACCCTAAATTTTTAAGGTCAACAACAAGTTTTTATGAGAATCATCTGCAAGAGGTAACATTTTATCTAATTTAAATGACGAAAAATAGGAGATTTTATTAAAATTTTCAAATTTTGGTCTGCAAGAAAATTCGTTAATTTTCTCAATTTTATATACCCGGAAAATTTAAATCTTGAGAAACCATTTTACAACTTTTTAGGGGGCAAAAAAGTCAAAATTTCAGTGGTTATATTAATAAAAATTCGGAAATCTTTGTTGTCTACTGCATATGCATATAATTTGTCATTATGTATTTTATATTATAGTCACATAACGGGATAAGAAATTTTATTCTTGGAATCTTTGCATTTATAAGCCAGTTTAGTTTCCATGGTTAAAATATAAAATTGGAAACTATTCTTCCGTATCAGTAATATGCCATACCGTCCTTGCACTTTAATATTGTTTAACTATACTAGCTTTATTGCTAAGTCAAAAGATCCCTACTAAAATTTAATTTTAAAAATCTTTTATTTTCAAGGGTCATAAAAAGAGATCAGAATTCAACCAAAAATTACCATTGAATATTGAACGTTCACACTTAAAATAAAAAAAAAACACAATCTCAATTGATTTTCTTTACTTTTCTATCCGTATTGCTGTAACACTATCTCATTAATGTTATAAAATATTCTTATATACACAATATTCTTTTATGGAAATTTTTTTTATGAAATAAACACCTAAATATATGCAATCAATGATCTGAAAAATTTTCATAAAACTATCATCAACTTAAGATGTTTATTATGCGACTTCTATAAACAATTTTTGCTTTTTTTTTTTAGGAAATTTAAAAGAAAATCAACCAAAATAAAAAAAGGAAAACAGAAAATAAAAGACAATCCTTAAATTATTACAAGGCGGCTCATCAACAAAAGGATTATAATATACATTCACATTTATACGCACACATAACTTTTGAAAAAGTTCAGTGTTCCTACCACCACACCCACACCCTCCTCTCCCTGCTATCAGAAAAGAAACAAAGAATTATAGCAAAAACCACACACTTATAAAATATTATCGTCAATTTTCTTCAATTCTGATGATTTCTAATAAAGTTTTCCCTTGTTGATTATCAAAGTGCGTAAAAGTGAAAAAAGAAAGAAGAAATATTCCCAATATTCACATAAACATTTTATGTTTATATGTAAATGTGTTCGTATCCCTCCGCATTTTCGTCTTATTTTTCTTCTAATATAATATTGTGTTAAATTTTTTTCTTATATTAGCATCCTTTCTGAAACTGAAGATGATTAAAGTTCTGAATTAGAGGATGATTTCAGTATTGCTCTTGTGAGACAGTGAATATTTTTTGAAGAACAAATATTTTGAAATTATTTCAGAATGGCAATCCTTGGGTGCGTTAATCAGCACTATCAAAAATAGTTATGCCAATAATTTTGTTTACTTCGAAAGAATTCTCGAGCTTCCAGCAAAGCTAATCCCAAATTCAAAGCTAATCCCAAATCTGAAAAATTTTCATTATAAAAGTATTTACTCGAAAGCGCAATCAACCTGTATTACTCTAACCCTTTCAAAAACATCAAAAATATTAAAAGAAAAAGAGAAATATATAAAAAAAAAATATTTCCTTCCGCTACCCTACTGATGTAGTTCAATTTTGAATTTATCAGCTTAATATGATGCATGAATGTGAGTGTAAGGACTACATTATCACCATCAAAAAAATATTTTCAAACAAAATTTACAGAAATTTTTTTTTTTGTTTTAGTACAATAAAAGCATGTTGTGAGTGTGTGTTTGATAAAATTTTATTCTTTTATCTATTGTTATACTGTTGAGGTGCTTGTATTACAAATAAAAACCCGATAATTTTTATAGTATCATAAATGAAAAAAAAATTCTCTTTCAAGGTCTCTTTCAGTTTTCACACATTTTAGACAGCATAGTATAAGTTATAGATGTTGACTTTGTGTAGGAATTTATTTTATTAATTTTAATGTGTATTTATAGATATGTACATATAAGACGTTAGAGATAATATTAATAAATTATAGACTTATGAGTCTTATGACTATATAATGTCTATTAAATGAAAAACTATTTTGATTTTCTAGTATCAAAATTATATTAACTATTATACTTAATGGTTGGTCATTAAAAATATGTGATACTTTATGAGTTTTAATAAATTTTAGATTTAATGTGGTACAGCAAACAAAAGCAAAAAAATAGTTAGAATTAATGAAAATTTAATTTTAAGAAGAATGATATTGTATAAACGTTGGTAGATGAACGAAAAACTCGTGCAGATAAGAGGTGGAAGTTGTCAAAATTTCAAATTTCGCTCAAAATTAATTTTTGAAATATAATCTTCTATATATGAAATTAATTTTAAGTTGATAAATTTCTTAAGAAATGTTTTGAGATGATTAGATAGATTTACTTGTTTCTAGCTGTGATACGTTATTGCGTCAAGATATTTAATAAGATAACTAGTAATAGTATCTAAACCTTATATGAAAATTTTTGAAAAATTTGAAGTTTTAGCGATAAGCTCGAATACGAGAATTTGCTAACTGTAAGTCTGTTCTGTTGATTCAGCACCGTCTTCTAATATTTTGTGCAAAGACATTTTAGCTCGAGCTAGAAACTATTTCTTATTTTTTTTAATATTTAGGCTTAAACTATGATTTATTTGTAAATGTAATTAACTAATCGTGGAACATTTATATACCGCCGTTGACATTACAAACATTTGACTATAATAATATCAATATCGTAAATACAAACATATTTTGTACGAAAAACAACAATGTACATATATAACAAAATATTAATGTAATTTTCAGAACCAATTCCATATTTATCTTGTCCTTTCACACACACACTATATATTTAAGAGTATGAACAAATGCTATTGTTTTTCATAACATATTTTGGAAAATTGTCGCCACAAGACATTAATTTTTCTTTGATTTTTCATTTTTTTTTCTTCTTTGTTGTCCTTTCTACTTGTTTGTTGTTCCTTCTACTTGTTTTATTCGAGTGTATTTCATGTGAACAAAGGTTAAAGCTATTCTTTTACCCCCTATTGAATTGCAAAATCGTTAATTATTTAAATTGAATATTTTCTTTTTGTTTTCATTCTCGATTTTCATTACTAACACACATACGCAATGTTGTTTAAGTAAAAACCAACATATTTTTTTCTTTTTTTTTGCAATACTTCGATTTCATTTCACTAATAAATTATTCAAATTCCAAAACATTTTTCAATTTTTATCCTTTTCTAAATTAAAATGCATAACCTATTTGATATTTCCTTGATATTCAAGGACTTTGAATACTTTTAACAAAAAAAAAGTCTTTTTCTCTGGGGATAAAAAATAATATGTAGAAGAGTGTTTAAAACAAAAGGCAAATTCTTAAACGTTTTAGCTGTACAGGGTCTTCGAAACCCAACAGTACTCCCACAATACGATGATAGAATGACTTCAGACGATAAAGAAACCCCTATTAACAATTTGTTTTTTAAGCCATCCTTCTCGAGTTTGGCCTCAAAGTTGAAATTTCTGAAAAGCGTCTCATTTTTATATTTTCTAGTGAATAAGTTTTACAGTTGTACTCTTGAATGTCAGACACCCTGTATGTACATTTATAGTTTGAATTATAAAAAAAGGAAAAAATTAAATTTATAAAACGAAAAATAATTTTTGGCCACCGCATACTAAAATATTTCAAAGGAAAAATAAAGTATATCGTATATGTGTCCCAAAAGGATATCTCTACCTTTTGAATCCATGAGACAAACTCTTGTATTATGAAAAATCTAAAAAAAAATGAAAAAGTAGAAAATTGAAATAAACCAAAACAAAACAAGGGGAAAAAATTGCAAATCAAAAGTCATTTAGAAAAGGACGAAAAATTGTTGTAATTTTTTATCATTTTTCCGTTTTGTTTTCTTTACTGAATAAAATTTAATAGAAAGGAGATCGGACATCGAATACGTTTTATTAGAAAAATATAAAAAAAAATAGAAAAAAATTAAACAATTAGCAGGAATTAATGTGGTTTAATAGTTTTAATGGTTTGCGGTATCAAAATATGCGGGCACTGGTATAACAAGGTATTCGAAATTATATTTGCGGCCGTATGAACTGGGATATGTGTAGTATAGCAAGGGTATTGTCTATCACAAGGACAATGTTCTAAATTTCACAAACAACGAAGACTATTCTAAGGAACAGATTAACTACATTTTTGTTTATCAAAATTTCTTTAAAATGTAAAAATTAAATGTACAATATTTCTTTAATTCCCTTAATATTTTCTCTTTTGGCAACTATTAAAGCCGAGTTTAATTAGTAAATTAACGAAAATGCAGTTTCATTAATTAAACGATCTTTAAAATGAATCACAATTTTCTTAATCTTTATTTATTAAATATATTTTTCCTTTAATTTGATTTTACAAAAGTTTTAAAAAATTCACAATGCTACTAGAAATTACTTGTTAGTTGTGCCTAAGATTTTGATTTGAAATCAAAAATTTCAATTAATTTCATGAACCTTTCATTTCATGATTACAATTTTTAATTTAATTCATTTATAAGACTCTTAAAAGATTTCTTTAATTTCAGAATAAATAACAGAACAAGAAGAGTTACAAACAAAACATTCAATCATAAACCGGCTACTTAATTTGCAACTTAATACAAAATCTATATATTTTTGTGCACTACACAGAATACATGAAAATGTGTAGTTATACAAAAATAAAATTCAAAAGCAAAAAGGACACCATTGTGGGTATTTTAAGTGTTAAGTATCTAGTTGACCATTGACGTTGTGGTATAACCCTTTTGTTTATAACATACCTATGCATATCCTTATAATAAATACAGAATTTATACACGTCTAGGAACCCACACCACACACACACGCATATCCTTGAATATGTTTTATGTTCACCGTTCATATTTTTCTTCTTATGAATGACTGCCTTTCTTTTTTCTTTTGTTGATTTTTCGAAAAATGTCCTTTTTTTTGTCTCCTCTTCGAAAAGTTTTTTAATCTTTCGCTTTATACAACTTCACAATTTCGATTTGTTTTTGTTGTTGTTCTTGTTATTTTCACTATTGTCCTGAATTATTATTTAGTTTGGTTTTCCATTTTTTGGTTTTGTTTTACATTGTCGGATGAGAATTTCTCTATGAAAATAATAAAAAAAAAACAATGAAAATGAGAAAAAAGAGAAAAATTATAACGAGAAATTGGACGACTTTTAAATTTTTTTAGGACAACTCAGGATGTCCTTTTTACTTGAAACTTACTTTTTTTTCTTGTTTGTGTAATATTTTTGTGTTGTTTTTCTTTTTTTTTTTTGCTTCGTAGTTTTTATTTCCACCCTTTCTATAATTTTTAATATTTTTTTTTCTTTCTATTTTAGTTGCTTTGATAAGAGTACATTGAAAATCAAAAGTATACTTTGAAAACACAAGTAAGAAAATTGAAAATGAAGAACATTTCGTCCTTAAACGGTTGGGCAAGAGAATCATTCCCTGAAAATATTAATTTTTTTTTATTTCGTCGCCTTTTTATTAAAAATATGCAAAGAAATGTTTAGTTTCTTTTCTTTTTTTCTTTTATTGTAGGAAAGAAATGAAAATGAGCCCAGAATTGTAGATCAAAATTAAAGATAATTTTCATTACTGTTTTTTTTTTTTGTAATTTTTATTCCTTAAGGATAGAAAAGTTATTTAAAATCTTGAATCTCAGTGAATTAACAAATACAATTAGAATTGAAAGAATTCATTAAAGTACAAATCTTTAAAATTATTTTAAATATTAGAGACCTTTAAAATACATAGAGAAGAACGTGTACAAGGTTGATTATAAATTAGTTATTTCCGATATTTCTCCGATGGACATTTTGAATTGAAGCAAAATTACTTTTAAAATCTTATTTTAAATTAAAGTTTTTCTTAAAAATCGAATGATTCCTGCATTTTATGTTTCAAATTTGTTTTAATTTTTATATGAAAATCAGAAAACTCTTGAATATTCCGTAATTTATACATTTGTATTTTACTGTAGAGCCACACGTATACTTAAATAATTTATTATCCACCGTTTTCTATTTTATAAAATAAAATAAATTTAAAATAAAAAAATGTTAATGTAATTTTCAACATAATAAAGAACTCAAAAATAATAATGGGAAGACTAATAAAAACATTTAAAACCTAATATTTTAATTTTGTAGAAAAAAAAAATAAATTATTTTAAAATGCTGAAGTAATTTAATATAATTTAAGCATTAAGTTATGTAACTAATGCATTTATAAATAAATAAATAAAATGATATAAAAATAAATTTTGTGGCTTCTATTACCACAACTTTGCTTTACTTTCCTTTTCTTTTTCTGCTTGCTTTTATACGTGATTCTTTTTAAATCTTCTTGCATAAATGCGAAATAAAAATAGACAATGTTACAAACATACAATAATATAAAATGTTTTTATGATTTCCATTTAAAAAAAATATAAAATAAGCATATTGAAATTAATTTATTCAGTTAATATATATAAGAATTTAAATAGATTAAAAAACACTGAAATTATATGGTAATTTTATTGCAGAAAATTTATAGTTTATACGATTACAAGAGTTATAATATAAAAATAATTTTTTTAGAATCTGAAGTAGGGGGATAATGTATGTATATATTGTGTATATAAAACAAAAAACCAAAAAGGCCACGAAAAGTTAGGTTATGTCTACTTACTTGTAAGAATAACACTCCCATTCTGTATAGTCTTAATTTTTATAATCTTAATCTTTTCATTTTAGATAGAGCGGTGAAAGAGAGAGAAATAGGAAGAAATAGAATATTACGCTTTAAAATTTGGTCGTGGAATAAAAAAATATTGTCAAACTTTATCATCAGGCGAATGAGAAGAAGAACACTTTGATATTTCGGGAGGCCAAAGGTACGTATATTTGTTATTATAACGTCGATGGATAAAATACGAAATTTTTGGCACGCAAAAATACCAAAACTGTAATTCTCAAAAAATTTTGGAAGCAAATAAGGCGCTGTGCACGAATTTCTTATTGGTACTAAAACAAATAGTTTATATAAATGCGTTGCAGTAAATCTTTTGCAATTCCCATAACACTTAAAACTTACATGTATTAGCCTTAGTGTGATTAGAGTCATGGAACTGATACGATTACCTCTACCTACTTTCATGCAATTTCCTATATTTTATAAAAAAAAAATAAATAGACCTACTTTCAAATTGTTTCTAACTGCACCTAAAATGATTTTCTAAACATTTTAAATTTGAAAATCACTGATTACAAATATTCTATAATAAATATTTTTACCAAAAAGTTAATATATAATAAAGTAGTTAAAGCCTTTTTAATGTAATAATATTATGTGGTTTATTGTCAAATCAAATATACTTTATCAAGGATATTATAGTAAAACACAAGAAGAAAGTAACAAACAATTCCAAGCAATCATTGAAGAATATAACTAAGATGAGTAAAAGATAAAATAAAAATAAAATAGGGAGTAAAAGAATTTTATTACAAAATCATAATATAATTTTAGAATTGAAATTTGACCACACTACTAGGCAAACACCTTTTAAGAAAATAGTTTTTGGATTAATTAGAAGTGTAACAGAATAGAATCAAATAATTAAATAATAATGTTGAAGATTAAATGAAAAAGGCCATATATTTAGATTAATATTATTAAATACCAGCAATATAAGCTCCGGATATTTAATTAAATTTAGTATCCAGATACTTACTTTTCTATGAAATTAGTACGAGCACAGATATGATGCGAATCCATTATTACTTTCAAGAAAATATAGAATAAATACATTTGTCTATATACCATCTCTGATTTTTGTAACCCATTTTGAAATATTAAAAATGAAAGATGAAGTTTGTAATACCTGACTAAAAGATCAGTTTTGCATAAGATTGAAAAAATAATAATATATTATAGGATTAAAAATAAAAAGAGGAGGTTTGATTAAATCATAATAAGACATGATTCTCATAAAAGAATTCTTGTAACATCTACATTCAAACCTACAAATATTATACATATGTATAATTTAAATATAAATTAAGTTGTAAGTTTAAATAATATTAATTTTATTTTTATTATTTAAAAAAGATGATCTTTGCTTTCTTCTTTTATATATAGAGTATAAGAAATTCCATTAATTTTCGCTTGTTAAACACCCATAATCAATAGATTATAATAAGATTGATTTGATCCTCCCATCTACATGTATATTGTAGTTTCATGAACATATACAAGAGTTTTTGTACTATTGTAGGAATATACAGCAGCATTTGTTTATCATAGTTGTATCAGAAGTGTTAGAGATTACATTAATAAGTTATAACAAAAAAACAGGATGATTGCATGTTAATATGGTAAAGGCTAAAAGGCCCCACCGCGCTTACAATATAATTAATCAAAACTATGTGAAAATGAGCAAGTATTATGTATACTGCATCCACAAAACTACTATCCGTAGAAACGCAAGAGCATAGTAGCAAACGAGATATTGTATGATCTCGTTAGGAAGAAAAGTGACTAATTTCGTTAAGGTTCGGCTTCATCTCGTGCAGTCAAAGACGTTGATTATGAAGCTACTGCACTGCTGAGAGGACATACTGAAAAAGACTTACTTTGAGCGTAGTTGAAGGTTTTTTTACCCGAAAAAGTTCTTTCTGAGCTTTGTAGCTGGAACATAAAAGCAATTTTAACTCTAAGCCCATACTTAGAGGTTTCATACAAAGGTATTTATTGAAAATAATTCCTCCGTCGTTTACTTTAAAAGATGAGCAACGTGATTATTTACTTTGTGACATACCAAAGATATTGTGCAATAGTTACACTTATATATTCGGGAATAGAAATGATCACCAAACACAATTTTTAATAAAAACCGTATGAATGAAGTGAACCACAATGGAGTGGCAGAAAATGAGAATAAACATAGCAGAAAAAACCAAATAGTATGCGCTTGATTATTGTATGTTTCGAAAATCATAGCTCATCCAATGTACTACTCGTAGAACTTGAATTTCGATTTCCTACTTTATATACCTGAATAACTATTCTTATCTGATAAATATCTATTCGTTATTATAAAAAATTTCGCATATTACGAGTATACAAATTCTTATTAAAATTAAATTTAACCTACATTTCAACCTAAACTTCCTTATTCCTTAGATATCTGAATATTAAATATTTTTACAATCCTCATGGATCTGACCTCATGGACCTTATTTAAATCGTATTTGTAATATTTTTCATTTTGTTATCCATCTGCATTGCCAAATCAATGACATAGTTCTTAACAAAAAAATGGAAAACAAAAAAAAAACAAAAAAAATATCCTTTATCACTTAAAATTTTAATTAGGTAATGAACAAAGTTACTAAGGGTAAAAGGAAATAGTGAAATGTGTCAGCAAGGCTTTAAAGAAAGAAAAAAAAAAAAAAAACAGAGAAAATGTCAGTACAATAATTGCCCATTTTTGATATGAAGGAATTTTTTCATTTTCATTCTAAATCTCATATCTCATATAATATGGGTACAATTTTAATATGAAATGGGGTCAGTTTTTGTTTTTGATTTTAAGCGAATAACCCTGTTGTTGTTAACCTATCCAGACAAAAATAACATGTCTATATAGTTATAGGCTCTTGTACATCTTTTCTATATTAATTTCCTTTTCATTCAGTTCTGTTTTGTAGTTCTTGCTTCTTTTTCTGTGATTAGAAGCACTTAAATAGGATGAAAACTGAAAAAAAAAACCATTAGAATTGATGGTGTTGGTTACTTTTTAGATCCTTTTTTCGTGCTTTAGTGGTTTAAATTACCAAGAAAGTAATATAAAAAAAAAAAACAAAAATTCAAATGAAAATAAATGCAAAATAAAAATAAAAAAAAAGAAGAATGAAAACTTTTTAAGGGGGGAAAAAACCATCAGATTTTTTTTTATTTTAATGGCATTTTTCCTGAGCCCAAAGAACATGAGTTTTCATTATGTTTATTATTTTTCTTCTAATTGTTGTTGCTGTTTTTCTTATATCCTTTTTTCTCTTTTTGCCTATTTTTGTATTAGCTTTTTTTTTCTTTAAATCATGTATTTCTCATTTTTTTTTTACTTATTTTGTTTTTTTTGCTTCCTTGCAAGGGATCTAGAAAATCCCTAGCGAGGAAGACTAGGAAATGGAAAATTGCTCGATGTAAATTTAAGAATTTTCTTTTTTTTTTTTTTGAGTTTTTAAGCTATTTTCTCCTAACTTATCCCACGAATCCCCCATCCGTCTACATACAATTAAATTACCAAGTTTTTATTTTAAGTGCCTGCAAAAAAAAATATTATGGCAGTAAAGGTTTAAATTCATATTACAAAAGAAATTTATTTAAGATATAATTTGAAAAATATATAACAATTGGATTAAAATGGTGCTGTAAAGTCTACAAGCAAAAATAAAAATGATTTCGTAATTGAAATCAATAGAAATTTTTATATATTATGTGGAAATTTTATAACCAATTTAAATTTAAAATAAGGAAAAACATTATTTTTTAACTAATTGGCATTTAAGAGAGATTTAAGAGGGTGATCGTACAAGAATTGGTGCAAACGATAACAGGATTAACATATATTTAAGTAATATTAATTAACTGCTGGGAACGTAATTTGCATATAGATTCTAACTTGCAAAAAGAAAAACTGTTTTAGGTTAACGATACATGTATTACACAATTAGATTTCAGACAGACATGGTTTCGTTTTTCATACAATTTCAATATAATAAACTACGTTCCAGACATTCATAAATTCATTCATGCTTTCCAGACATACATTTATTTTATACTTAAGACAAAAAACTAATATAAAATATTTAAAAATTTTATGAGAGAAAAAATATAACAGTTTTAAATGAAATATAAACTTTAACCGTTATCCCATTAGCCAGGGTTGTAAAATCTTTGTTAATATAATATAGTTTTACTTTATCTATACTTAAAAACTTTAAACTTTTGAAAACTTTACAGACAACATTATTTTGTGTTTTTAATTCGTTTATCGGTGCGTTAACAAAATGTTACAAAACTTGTAAAACTTTCATATATCACAATTAAAAAATATATTCAAAATTTGGAATTTAGACATTTTGTAACGATTTAGTAAATTATTAAAATAAAAAGTTGTTTAGAAAATGGAAAAATAACTTTTCTATTTGGAAGGTTTTTGTAGAATAAATGTAGACTATACTTTTAATCACAAGATTTTTATGGTAATAAACAATTTTTATATTTTTTATTATCCAATTTTTAAACAAAAACATTTTTCTATTTTTAGCATGTTACATTTCGTTATCTTGGAAAAATTGAATGGCAAATACAAAAAGGATCAAGTATTCACTTTCATAATGAACAACATTTCCATAAACAAGCAATGAACTATAGTGATTCAGCAACTAAATATTTGAATTATTAAGCACGGAACATAACTCTACCAGTTTAATTTAATATGAGTGGGCTTTTATAACAACTTATAATGCCAGTTTTCTTCTATAATACGTACATATCGGATTATCTTTTATTGTAGATGTTACATGATGAAACGGAATGGATTTTAAACAATTGAAATGTTACAACAAGAAGACGTGAGTGCAGTTAATAAAAATAGATTTTAATAGACTCTGCAATTTCAAAATGTTTTAAACCAAACGTTTAATATAACTAGTGAATTTTTCAATTGTAATATAAGGTTCAAGTGAATTTTTAAATTAAATTTAAGAAAAATTAAAAAAGAACTTGCAAAATTAAATGGATTTAGTATTTAAACAGATTTCGTGAAACTGTAATACATATTAAACTTATTACAATTCAAATGTGTTGCTTAAATACTCATCAATTATTCATTAATTTTTTTCTTCTACAATTTTCAAACATTTCAAAATTTAAAATTTAATCAAAAAAAATTACAAATTTTTCTCATTTATAGTCTAAAATTCCAAATGCATTTCAATTATTTACAAATATCAAATTAAATTGTTTGTTGTTAAAAATTTGGTTAAAAAGTAGTATGTAGCTAGCTATCCGCTATTGGCAATTTCAATTCTTTTCCTCGCAACATTCATGAAACTAGAGTATTTCAAAATTTTTTTTATACAAAAAATGAAACAAATTTATTTTAAACAAAAACTACTAAAAAATTTTGATTTACATAAAAAATACTTCCAAAATTATGTATGTATGTATGTCGAAATTTTTTGTGCAAAATTTCAGTGTAGCCCTTGTTAAGAATAACAAAAAATACTTGAATATATTTAGAGTAACAATTTCTATTCATACTTTCATCAGTGTACTGCATATTCGTATGAATCCTTTAAATTATTTTTATATTGTAGAGATGATTTTCCATTTATGATATTCATCATATGATATTTATATTAGTATTAGTACCATGTTAATTATGTGTATTTATGTCATATCCATGTTGTTCGTTAAATTCATATGTATTATCAAGGCTGGTTTCAAAATATGTAGAATTAAATTAATATAATGTCAGTGATTCAAAACGTAAATGTTAACATAAACTACGCCAATAATAATATTGCTAAATAATATTCTTATAATACTAATGTTTTAAGAGATTTATCAATGAGCTTATGTGAAACAATGTGATTGCAGTACTTGTTACATGGTATATTTTATATTCCTTTAATTAAATTACTATAGTCTTTTAGGCACAAACTAGACATATATGAAAATTTTTGTTTTATATTTGAATTTTACTCTAATTTAATTATATAGCAAAAATTCGTTTAAAGGTAGCTTAGAATTAACTGGAACAATCACAAATTGCACTGTGTTTTTTTTTTGAATTAAATATTTATATAGATTTAAAAAATATTCATGAAATGCAGAGCACACTATTAAAAATGTTCAAAGTTAACATAAATTTTTAGTAATATGATTGCATAATACGATCATTTCAAACCAATTTTTTTAACATAAATATTTATGTGAAGTAATTAAAAATACTTAATCCGAAAAGAGTACAAAATATTTTACATAGAGAATAGTTTTAGTTTTACTAAAACAAAGTAGTTTTTTTTTTTGATTTATTCATTACTAAAAAAAAATAAGTTAAATTAGGCAGGATGATATTCTATACATTTTAAATACCTAAAAGTTTTTTTATGTTGTTAAAATTTTCGTTAAACTTGGTAGGTGTCTATACGGTTAGGATATATAGGAAAAATGATGTAGAAACAATATATAATAATTGACAACCCTCAAACTTTCATTAAATTAATATTAAAAACTATTCGATAACAAAGATATCCTAATAAGAGTGTTCAAATCGAAAAATTGTTATAGATTTTTTAGGAAAGAAAAAGAAAGGACTTCATTTAATTCAAAAACATGAAAAAAATTTTATTAAAAATAATTTTTCGTAAATTTTACATTAAAAAATTGTATATAAGATCTTAATAAAATTTTAATCAGCGATGATAAAAAATAATAATAATAAACAAATATAAATACATATATAAAGAAAAAAGGATCCTTACTGACCCTCTCAAATCATCCATCATTATATTATCAACCCTTTTGAAATTAAATTCTAATAATCCAAGAACGCTATAGAAGTCTCGTTTCTCACTCAATACTTTAGCAAAAATAAAATAAAATAAATAAATTTTTGACCAACAGAGGTGAGAAAAGGGATTCTAAACATGACAAATGATCGACAAAATAATTTATTATTTTTTGATAAGAATAAAAAGGAAAGTAAAAACATCTATACAATGAAAAAAAAGGATACCAACTGAAAAATGAAACTTGAGGAAAAAATTAATATTTGTATTTATTGTAGTTATGTACCTATGTATTTGGCCTTGCTGTTCGAATTCAATGACAGTATGTATGTTCAGTTTTTTGACATGAATGTATTCGGAAAGCAAGGATAAAAAAACAAGAGTTCTGTGGTGAAAATAATAAAATAAGTAAGATTATTGATTTAGAGTCCTCGAAGTTTGTTAAATATTAATAAATAAAACAAAATTAGGTCACCTTTCTTAAAGTATTGAATAATTTCAAAAAATTATATGTATTAAAAAAATTTTATTAAATTTCATTAAAACTAAAAGAAGTTTAAGAATTAAAGCAAATAATTTTAATTAAATTTGAAGAGAATTGCAGACGATTGAAAATATTATAGTTTAATTGAAAAAAAACTCGTTCTATTTGAGAAATTCAATAAAAATAAAAACAAAAAAAATTTTTGTGAATCATTGTGAATTCCATTTTAAAGGATTTTCGAAATTCGGTTAATTTTTATTGAATATTTGAAGTGCTTTAAATTAATTTTTTAACTAATTATAGGACATTGAACCTCTATTGTTAGTATGTCATTATCACTAATTAAAATTTTTCGGATTAAATTTATTTGGATTACTAGCCCTCTTAATGTCGAAGATTATTTTGCCCTATTAATTGTTTTAAAAATTTTTAATTCCCGAAGCCTCGGAAAGAAATCCAAAAAGCAAATAATTTTCAATTGGAATTAGAATCAGAATTACAAATGTCATAAAAATTGCAAAAAAGAAAAAAACACCCTCATGACCGACACCAATTCTTTTATAATGAAATTATATTGATATAGTTTGAAAACCAGTTGCTATTTTCGAAATTAAATTTTTTTTTTAAATTTATAAAGAAAGTTTACTTTTTCTTTCATTAAAAATTTATTTTTGAAAAAAAAATTTCAGTACTTATAGTTAGATTGTCATAATATTTTTCAAAAATTATAATCTAAACAAAAAGAAAGTTTTTTAACTTCCTCATAACATTTCTACATTTTATATTTTCCAATTTTTAAACAAAAATATTTTTCTTTTTAGTATTTTACATTTCGTTATCTTGGAAAAATTGATGGCAAATACAAGAAAAGATCAAGTACACTTTCATAATAAAAAACAACACCATTAACAAACAGTGAACTCTAAATGATTCTACCATCTAAATGATTTGGATTATTAGAATGGATATTTGGATTTGGATTTTATTAAGCGGAACGTAACATCTCTATCAATTTAATTTAATATGAAACAGCTTTTAAGTTTTCTTCTACAATATATGCATATTGGACTACCAAAGCTTATTGTTAATTTTGTGACCATTACACTTATGTACATTTCATTTAAAATTGTGAAGCAACTGCAAGTAGAACAAAATAATTTGGAAAACTTGGAATTTTTTACATTCAATTCAATGTTGTACTGTATAAGCTGGAAAAATTAGAAAATGTTCAAATTAATCTACATACGTTTAATCCCTTTGCAAATGTTTCAAAAATAAAAAAAAAAGAATGTACATACAACTGTTGTTTTTGCCAGGTAAGCTTAAAATTTGTATGCTCTCTAGACTAAGATAAAAAGTAAAAACTTGTTGTTATTTTTTTTTTTTCGATACTTTTCTCAGGTCTGTGCTTATCCTTGCGTTCTTCGAATTCATTTAAAATGTGAAAACTATGGAATGTTTTTGTATTTTATATTTTACTCTTCATCCCAACTTGTATGTATAGTGCATTATCCTTTAAATTTTTGGAAGATTATTTTTTTTGAAAAGATGAAAGGAGAAAAAATATACAAAATATTTTTTGTATCCTTGCCGTGTTATTCCATACACATTCTTCATAATATTATTGTGAACGAACAACATTTTTTAAAGTAACATTTCTGACTATATTTTTTATGTTTTTATTGTCGTCTTGTATTACTGTATAATGACACCACAATACAATTGGGATGTATGTAAGTTGTTACAAGAAAGACATAATAACATTTTTTTTTGTTATTTTTGGTGTTTTAAATGTGGAAAATTGGGAATAAGTTTTCTTTTATTTTCATTCTTTTGATCTTCAATAGAATTGGAATGTTAAAATTGGATTTGGAAAAGGAGACAAACGCACACTACACATTGAAATTGGATTTTAAGGTGTGATGTGTATATTAAACAATATAGCTACTATAATAATTTGTTCTTACTTTTAGTAAAGTAATAGCAGATATTTAAGATTATAAATTTGTACTTCTGAGAACATTTTGAAGTATATTTGAGTTCAAAAATTTTTTTAAATTATTAGTACAACAGAAATAAGATAAGATTAAGTAATTTCTATGTGTTAAAATAATTTTATTTTTTTAGAATGTTAAAATTTTGTAGTCACATTTTAAAAACAAAAAAAAAAAATGTTTAAATTTTACTTGTGTCTAGACGATGGATTAAATTTTTGGGCAAATTTTCCGGAATATTAACAATTTCTCTTAATAATTCATTTAAATTCACCTCAAAAGTTTTTTGATTTTTTATGAAAAATATATTTTGAATTCTAGAACCTGGTAATTTAATTATTTTTTATTCGGTATCATTTAAAAATTTTGAATGTAGTTAATTCGAAATTTGATGATTGAAATAAAAAGTTTACCTTATCCTTATCTTCCATTGATTATTGAATATATATAGCCTGATATTATAGTTTATTGATTGACACCTATTGCTATAAATAATTAAAATATATTCTTTAGTTATGATCCTTTCAATTTCATTTTTAATCAGATTTAGTCAAAAAGATTAATACAATAATTTGCCATTCCAACTGTAGCAGAAAACTTTTTTAATTTATTTATAGCATCACTCAAATTCATTAAATTAGACCTTCTCCTAACCTTCATTGAATTACGCCTTCTCTTACTCTATTTTATTTAGATGGACAGAACAATTGCAATTTTAAGACGGAAATTTTTCATAAGTGGTGGTAGTTAACGATAATGCTATAAAAACAAAAATTATTCTTTCAAAAAATATTGGCTTAAAATAAAATTAGTTTATGTTTGCTGCACTCATACCTACAAACTTGTGTACAAAAATAATTTTGTCTGAGAAGAGTTTTCCTTTTTTTGTTATAGAAAATCATAAAAATAAATAAAAATATTTTTATTTTTCTTTCTTTTTTTATTCCTTAAGATAAACCCATCAATCAAAATATGTCACCAGAATGACATTAACTAAATATGGTGTCCTTTTTTTTATTCATTTTTATTCTATTTTCCTATCTTCTATGTTCGATATTCGATTTGTATGTATAATGTAATATAAGACAAAAGGTATCATTTTTGCAAAAAATTAGTCATTTTATAGAAGATCAGCAACAAAATGATGCAGTTGTTAAAAATTGATTGGAATATTCGGAATTTGTAGTTTTTAGACATAAGTTTTATTGAATCGAATAGTCGAGTAAAGAAAAAAGGAATGTACGACAGAGTGTTGTTCAAAAATATGGCAAATATTTTACGTTTTACTAATGCATTGATTTCTTTTTAGGAATTGAGTCCGATGAAAAGGTTTTTGAGAGCATTTGTGTGGAGCGTTTTTAAGTTATATCAAAAGAAAAACACGGAAGTGCTTAAAATTCTTAAATTGAAAATACGGATCTTTCAACAAATTTCCACAAAAAAATTTATAATGTGCGACTAACGTTTCTCTAATATAAAAGTTTATAGTAGGGACCACAAATTAAGATTTATAATTTTAGATAAAATTTTAATACTACAATTATTCCTAAACCTGAAGCTCAATAATTTTATATGGAAGTTAATATAATTGGAAGTTGCTAAAGTATTTTATATATTGCATGTAATTGAACCTATATAGATGTCAACGGAACAGAAGTATTTGATTCTTAAATGCATTTCCTCTTCACGTGAAATTCAATGGCACGTGGAAATTTAGGAATGACTATTATATCGAAGAGGTCAAAATACATAGGCATATTTTATTGCGCGAACTAATTTTCAAAACTTCAGCTAAAGTAGCTAACATATTCAATTAATAGTTTTTCTCAATTCATGGATGTGAATCATGTATGCAAAAGTAATTTTATTCAAAATTAATCGACCAAATTGAATCGCAGCCTAAAACGAATCACTCTAATTTATTTATGAAAAAGTATTGATTTTACTAAAACATTTAATTCAATCGCACTTTCCATTTTATATTTGCCATTTTTATCATTTGAGAAACTTTTCACAAGAATATATCAAGATAGGAAATAGGAGAATAAAATAGAAAAAGTTAAAACTCTTTGTACACAACAATATACAACAAGGATGATAAGGATATAATAATTGTGCCACCTTCTAAAATGACATAAAAAAAGAAAAATAAAATGAAAACAAATTTATTTTTCTTTTTTTTTTTGTTCTTATACACACATATTATGTCCTTTTTTTTGGGCTTAAATGAAAAATAACGAAAAAAAAACAAGGATAAGCGAAAAAAAATTTCATATTAAAATTGTAAGAAAACTAAGGGAATTTTTTTTTTTTTTGTTTTTTAGCCTTCAAAAGTGATGAATTATTGTCACACTCGGCTAGAGGACTGTTGTAGTGTTAAAATGCAGAGGCCAAAGACAAGAAAAAAGTGTCTGCCAGTGATTTGGACATTTTTATTTTCCTATATTTTGCTTTTTTTTTTGTTTCGTTCTCCTGTTTTTCGTGTTTTTGTATTTTATTGTGTGTGCCTTTAAGGACACTTTGTTCTTTCTTAAAGTGATGGAGGGTTTTTAATTTTCACTCATTTTTTTTCATTTTTCCCCTTTTTTTTGCCATATATAGGAGAAGAAGATTTCAGTATTTACAGGATCTAAGAGTAATGGCCATATAAGTATAAGAATAATTTTTTTTTTTTGGGCCAACTTAGATTCCTCAACAACGAGATTTTTTTTTACAAATTTTTTTTGATTCATTTTTATATTTTCCTGTTTTAATTTTTGGCAAGGCGCTGATTAATGTTCTGATATTAAATGATAACAAAACAAAATTATAATAAAAAAAAATAATTATTTTGATTAAAAAAATGTTTCTGCATGTAGTTAGGGAGGGTGGAGTGTGGGGGATGGAGTGAGGTAAATGGAAAATAAAAATCTTGATTTATTAATAAATTAAATTTTTTTTTATTTTGGGATATTCAGGCATTCTGGTTTTAGTTTTAATGAAATTTTTAAGAAAAAAGGATAAATCATCCTTCTAGGGTGAAAGTAATCAAAAAATACGGCTAAAAAATGGGAAATATAAAAAACAATTGAATATCTTAAAAAGATAAATATACATAAGTCAGGTTGTAGGAAAGTAGTACGTTTTTGATAAGAAAAGAAAGTTTCATCAAACTAAATTTTTATGGGAGTAATTAAAATATAGACTCCGTTCAAAATGTGAAAATTTTTCGTTATCAGGAGCAAATGTTTAGCGTCTCTTATTCTCTTGTCATGATTTTCAAATCACATATGATGTAAAGCTTAAATATTAAGTAACAACTAAAATAGCACGCAGAGAAAACTATGTACATAATATATAGTTAAGAAATTTCTTAATTAGTTACTTTCCAGCACAATTATTCTTCTTAATTTTTGTCAGTGCAATACTAATTTCAATCTACTTTCAATCCTCTCAAAATTCCAAAACTTCATGTTGTAAAGGAATTTTTAATACTTCCTAAAAATTACCACTTTACCGAAGAAAATTTGCAGGATTATTGTAAGTTCTATTTTTTTTTTTTTTACAAGTAAAGCTTTCATAATAATTTTCTTAATTTTAAGTGAATTTTCCGCATTCATAGCATTAATATAATAGAATCAATTTTCCAATTTAACTATAAAAGAAAAGTATATAGAAAATCCTTATATAAAAAGACATTTTTTCGCTCCTCCTTTGAGACTTGCGAATTCAAAGGATTTTTGTTTCTTTTCACCTTATGGCGTGAAAATAATTTTGCAATCAGAAAACTAGAAAATTTTGTTATATAGAAAAGAAAAAAAAGCATTAAAATAAATGTAAAATTTCTAACATTCTGTTTCAAATTCAATTAAATTTAGGACTCTTTAGAGTGCAAAAAATTAACTACTGCCATTTTAGTGAAAAACACCAAAGCTTGAATTTTTTTTCCCTTGCTTAAAAGAAGTTTTTGTTTCTTTGCATAGGATATTAAAACTTAAAGTAAAGGAATAAAAATATGTGCCAAGGATGAAAGGATTCAAATACCACAAAGTTCAATTCTTTTTAAAAATTATAATTTTATTTTACTTTAATAAGGATTTACTCGTGTATAGAATGAGTGTCGTTCCTTATATCGCTTATTGTAAGTTTAACACTTACAAGAATGATAAAAAGAGAAAAAATCTTTTGGTTTTGCCTTGAAAAGCGCTTTATTTTTTAATTTTAACACTGTTTTCCGATTATATTATTATTCAAAAGGAGTGATTCTAGCAAAGTGGAATAAACTGAATTTGAGGCCAGTTTTATTTATTTTTAAATTTGAAAAATTCATGAATAACTAATAACAAAACAGTAAACCTATGTATGTATGAGTACAATGAAAGTTTGATTGGTTTTTATTTTTCGTATTAAGCTTAATCTGCTCTTGTTTTGTAGATGAAGACGACCTATATATAAATATCGTGCCATAAACATATTAATGAGGTACGATTCAAAAATGCTTTTTAACTGGCAGGTTTTGGAAAATTAGGCTGGTATGGAGCATTGAAAACGGAATTGTTTTTATGTTGAAAATATTAGACCAGTTGATGGAGCTTGTAAACAATATTTCATCAGTATAATATTTAAAAAATCTTGATAGTAATCTAATTGAACTCTTAAGAGATTGAAGTCATTATCAAAAGAACCTAATTTATATGAAAACCAGTAAAAACATGAAATATTTTAAAAGTTTATAAATTTGTTTTCTGGCTGAACAATAAGAGATTTTAATATGCGGGTTATTAAATTATTGTACTAACATTTAAATTAATTACAATAATAATTATAATTTTTGGTATAACACATAATAATTAAAACCCTAAAAAATTATGAAAATTACGGCTTCTTACATGAATTTTTATTTAATTATAAATAATGTGCCAAAATATCTTACTATACAATTTAAACACTGACAAGCTCACATATTAAAGATTAAAAATTTTTGACTCAAAAAATTTAAAATTGTTTTTATAAAAAAATTATTTTATTTTCATATGTTTTATATTTAATAAATGTAAATTTATTTTTAAAACGAAAATATAAAATATTTAATATTTGAAAATAAAAATATTATATATAGAAATGCAAAATAGAAATGAAAAACAAAATGTTTTTACATGCAAAAAATCTTACCTTAAGGATATTTAATTATTTGGTATCAAGTTACTGCCACAAAGAGCATCATTATTTAAGGATAATCCTGAAAAGAAAAAGAAACAAGAAAAAAAATATTAAAAAAAGAAATTTTCATTAAAATATCGCGGTTTATAAAGCTTTTGTTTTGTTATTTTTGTTTTTTTTCAAATTACAAAGTAGAAAAATAATAAATCTTATTTTGAATTACAGAACAAAAAAAAAATTTAATTTCAGAATTAAAAAAATATTTACGAAAAAAAAAATATCATTCTAAAGGCTCACAGCACAAGGTATTGTCGGCATCAAGGCATGTGTCTTATTAGTTCGTTTTATATCACAAGGGTGATATACAAGGGTGTTGAAGGTCACAGATATTACAATGAATGGTTAACAGGATATAGGTTTCTCATAAATGTTTCCAAATTATAAAGATTATTAAAAACAAAATGTACTCCACACTTTGCTGGCGATATTATGGCCACCATCACTAAAATCTTGTTTGGCAAGTTTCTTAAAATTCCTACTTTTTACTAATATGAGCATGTTTGAACTGAAGAAATTACAAGTAATATTATAGAAAACAGAAAATTTTAATACGCTACACAAACTGTAATACTGCAGAACAAGAATATTTCATTTTTCACTTTAGCAATCGCACAACAGTAGCAATGTAAATTTTCATTTTTACACAAAATTATGTGTGTAAAGGTTTTCACATATTATACAAATCATTTTTTTAATTAAATTTTGTTTTTTTTTTTTATATTTTTAATTAAAAAATATAATCGTATGAACTTTTAAAATATTTGAGATTATTAAAAGAAATAACTTACAATTATTGTTTACAATGTACGCACCATCATTTCGTTCACTGTATACGCGCAAGAATTTAATCAACATTTAAAATATACCAGTGCTAAAAAAGTTCAGTGAATCTACAAACAACAGAAGTTTTCTAAGGGAAAAAATGTAATTCATTTATAAAAGACATAAAGAGATTAAAATATAAAGAGATCATGGTTTGCAATAATTGTTTTCCATATTAAGAATAATTAATTATTGTATAACAACGCAAGCTACAAATGCACATACAATAGTGAAGTTTTGAGAGAATTCTTTTGTAAGTAGAAAAATTGTATTTCAAGGGAAATTAAGTTTGGATAAAATTTTTGGACAATACGTTAGTTATGGTTTCTTTTCACTTTTAAATTTCAATTCCGAAACGAAATTAGTTACATTAATTCAATTAATATTCAAATAAGTAGTCACAAATTCTACGAAATGGTTTCGCACGAATGGTATAGCTTGTTTCGGAAATATTAATGGTATGCTAGAGCTTAAAATTTTCAACGCTTGGACTACTAAACTATGTGCACGTATTATTTTACATATGTGTGTATTAAATAAATTGTTTTAATCCAAGAAAAATATACATACATACGTAATATTTTAAGATTTAATATTTAAAAGCTTACATAATTACAAGAAATTTGTGATCGAATCAGAAAAATCTAAAAAAAAACAAAAGCGTGCAAAATTTAAAAATGCAATAAAAAAACCGCTAAATACTTACCCATATTTTTTTATAACGCGTAAAAATTATAATTATTTCATATAAAATTTATTACCGCAATAATAAAAGTATAAAAAAGGATACGAGTTTTTTGAGGTTAAAAACATTAAAAATTTAAAATCTGAACATGATTCTGTCCCATTCTCTTAACATGATTCTAAAAAAAAATCGAATTGAAGAACTCCCTTTGAAGGTGCTGCTCAATTTCATCATTTTGAGCTACATATAATTATAGGCACACATGAAAATAATGTATGATTACATTAACTGAGGCGAGAAAAATTCAACAACAGCTAAAATATTTTAACTGAAATTGTTCACATGTTTAATTTTTATTAAAGATTTTTTTTAAGATTGTACTCGTAGTCTGCTCATTTAAAAATTCAAAAAATATAAAAATTCTGTATCATCTTATAACAATTTTAGTCAATCCCTTGCCACATAAGATTTGGTGATATTTTGTTGGATTTAATCTAAGGCATTACAATATTTTTCTTACAATACGAAATTATTGTAGCATACACAACCCATATTCTTGTAATTATTTTGCAAAAAAAAACAATTCCAGATTGTACTTGAATTTATATGCTCTTAAATTTTAATATTACAAAAATATACAATGAAGAGAACACAACAACAGTAAAATATTAAACAAAATTTTATATTCACAATAATAATAATTATTGTGAATATAAAAAGAGAAAAGAAAAAAAATGATAAAAATTATAGACTCTAGGTGAGAAACAAATCAACATTTTACGTTGAATATTTTACACTCTTGTATTGTATTCGTGTTACGTGTAAAATATTCTCTCACTCTCTAATACAATAATCATAAATCTTTTATAAATATATAAAAAGTATATTATGAATTTATAATTTAAAGCATTTTATGAAAAATACTGCTACATAAAAAATTAATGTGAATATAGAGAAGGTGAGAAAAAAAATTTATATTTACATATTTATAAAGAATAAAGAATAAAGGCTTGGATAATTTTGGGATATGTATGTATTTATGAAGGTATCAATATACTCAATAAATTATTGTAGAGATCATGTTAAATTAATATAACAGCATCTAATGATAAAAAAAATGAGAACTAAGTCACAATTCATCTCAATTTAAAACTCAAGATAATTCAACATTTACTCAAGTTTCTTTTAATTATTGAATACATTAACAATATTTAAAATGATTCAAATTATTGAAACTCTACTGTTAATCTTGTAGTTCAAGTTAATGAAACTCTACTCTATTATTGATTCAGACGAATACTATTAGAGAATATACATTCGTAATGTTACCTACTAAGTTATAAAGACAAGTAAAGGCAAGTTTTAAATATTCTTTGTGAATGACTATAACTTGTGAATATATTTTTTATATTTACTTCATTATTTTACTGTTAATTAGCACCTTATATACATAAATATTTTTTCAAGACAATATAACAGTAATGAAAGGCATAAATTAAACAAAATAAATTACATATTCTGAAGGCAAATAATAGTAACTACTTAACATTATTTTAAATGTTCATTACAAACGAAGTATTAAATTGCACACTTCATTTCTTATTACACTTATATAGTGTACACTCTTATAATACAGATATACTACAGGTGTATTCAAATCATAAAATATTATTCTGAAGAATTTATGTCAAGTAGCGGGAAAATAAAATGGAACAAAAATTTTTCGTATATTATCCTTTTTTTTAATTTTTTATACCATAACTCATTAACATCTAAAAAAAATCATTTTTGTCGACGACCTTGCAATTTTTTTGATATTAAGGTTACAAAAATATTTGTATATTCTAAAAAAAAAAACAATAATAAAAAACAGAAGTTTTTAAATGGAATTTGCAATAGAAAAGGAATTTTTTAGTATACAAGTACTTGAATCTTTACTCTAAAATTATGAATCCCGAAATAACGAAAGCGAAAGTTATTGTAGTTTTAATTTTTTTTTAGTTATTGAATCTAAAACAATAGTTTAGGTATATAAACGAAATTGAAAACTACAAAGTAAATCAAAATTCATGGTGTGAAAACACAAAATTATGCAAGACAGGAGTAAAATTTATAAATGAGAAAAGACTCTCTCTTTACAGCAATTATTGAAAATATTTCAATTTAATACTTAATAAATTTATTATCTTTACAACCAGAACAATAACAAACAAGAAACTATTGGCGGTTACGGACCAGAAGCCTACAAATGTGTGTATAAAAAAAAAGTGTAGAGGGCTGAAACACACATTACGCGGGCCGTATAATACCATCCTGTGACTTGTGGCGACAAACAACACTTAGAGAGGCCGAATTAAATAAAGTGCTTAACCCTAAGAGTGTGATTCAGAGAATTTATTGAAGCCCTGTTTTCACGTTGGGAGTGAACAAAGGAGAAAAAGAAATTATTTTTAGACACATGTTCTAGTTTCATCTTTAATTCCTTTTATTACCACTCATACATTCTAGTTTTATATTCCACGTTAATCCCTTCTTAAAAAATATGTCAATTAAAAAATTGCATACCTTAATGCGGGAAAAAATATTTGCTTCTGGAATTTTTTAACAATTCTAGTGGAAATTAATTTATTTTTTGTAGTTGTTATTAAAAAAAAATTAATTCGTACCTTACCTCCGGGATCACTTCAATTTTATCTAACTTAAAAAAAAACAAACATAAATTTTGAAAGAAAAACATTTTATCATTAATGCATTCATAACATTAATCGCAACTAATTAACCTATAGTTGCCGGGAATATTGACACGATTATAAAATTGTGTAGCAAATTATGATAATTAACCTGGACTTGTTTTTTCTCAATTTTCAAATTTTTTGTTTTCTCATATTAAATTGAATTGGTTGAAGTTAAATTTCATACATAGGCATTACACAATAAATGAGGTTAATGCTCATATGAAAATATTATTATTGTATACTTTTTATCCATAAGCGCAAAAGAAAAGTTTTGCCTTAAGTTTTGACCCGAAAGAGAAAGAAAAATTTATAGAAACTTATGTAGAACTCAATTTTTTTTTTGTTTTTATTTACTTTTTTTTTAATTCTCTTGTAGATTTGAAATTACGTTTTCAAAAACAAAATGTACGTAATGTGCGCATTAAGTGCATAACGATGTATAAATATTAACATAAAATTGCTGTTTACCTACAATTAACTGGTACATATACATGAATACTATGTTCACATATTGTACATACCTAACTGTATTCACTCATATTCACCCAACTTCTCATTTCATTTACATTAATTTTGGTACACTATAAAAATTTATGTTTGTAGTCATGCAAGTACACAAATTATGTCAGTTTATGAAGGTATTATTAAAACAAAAACAAAATAATAAAAATGAAAATAAACAACAGAAAACTGAGGTGTTAAATATTTTCTGGTACAGCTGTAAAATTCAAAAAATTTTATCCTCATAAGAATATTTAAACGAAATAAACAAAAATTATATATTTACATGGAGTATAATAACATGAGTAATGAGTAAAGGTTAATGAGAAGTATTTTTTTATAATTATTATGCTATTTGCAAAGAAATTGAGAATAAAAAATAAAATGAGATCCTGAAATTTTTCTTTAAAATTAAAATTGCGATTTATTGCAAATTTCAGTTTCTTTAATAATAAAAAATTTTTCGCTCATTATGCAATGAGTGTGTATATAATACAGATTTTAAGAGTAATAATTATTTACTGTGATTTTGTTTTCTTTTTAGTTTTTAAGCAAATTATTTCAAACTAAATAACTTAATCGTGTTGATTTAGGAAACAAATTATTTTGTTGTTCCATTTATACAAAATTTTAATAATAATATTTTGTACTTTTTCTATTTTAGATATAAAATTTGCCAGGAAGGTCACAACGTAATTCAGATAAAATGATGGTGAATTAATGGGAATGAAAAATTACAAGCAATAAAAATGAACTGGTAAAATTTTTAATTAATATAAGATAAGGCAGAAATAGGTTCCACTAAAGTAAGATCTCCGAGTAATTAGGCAAAATCGTTGAACAATAGCTCATGAGCTATAATTAAGACGAAAATATTATCGAAAATTGATTTTAAAGCCATAGGGCAAATAAAGAATAAGAGTTTCTTAAAGGCCTTTAATTGTTTCTATTATGTATATTAACATTAAAATCTACATTTTCTTTAATTCATATTTAATTACTGTTTTTTTTTAGCTTCGAAAGGGGGTACCTTCCACAGTTGATTTAGCGTTTTATTAATTCTTGTGCCTCAGTTGAAGAGCCAGCCTAAGTGTACCTATATATTTTGATTTTTTGTGAAAAGATGAAGAAAATGTCTATAATTGGCGTAGAAAAAAAGGATATTTTGTAGAAAAAGTGAATTCTTTCCATAATTATATTACCATCTTGAGAAATAATTTTATTTTGTTATATTCATATTGTAATAGATGAATTCGATTTTTCCAATTTATTTTCTAAAATTCAGTTACAGATCAGTGATTCGTTTATTCTATGTTAGACGGTTCAGGGTGCACAAAAAAAATCATGCGTTGGGTGTAATAACATCTGATTTGAGCGGATTTCAAAAATTGCTAATGCTTTTTTTTATCAACATTTGATTAAAAATCTTAATTTGTACCCTTTAGTAACATCATAATAACTCAAAGATAAAAAAACAGAATTTTTTTGTAATTAAAATAAAAACAAAGGGCATTTGCATTTTGTACAACTTTTATATATGACCATTTTTCCAATTACAGGTGTACTAGTATCTTTTTAATAGCTCCTATAATGTGCTTGACCATTTTCCACACAAATTAATTGCATTCTGATAACAGCAAAAGAAAAAAAGAAAGACTAAAAATAACAGTTAAATTTTATTTAAATACCAACGTAAATTGTAGAAAAAAACTATAACTGAACTGAAATGCAGAGTATTTGTGCTAAATAAATAGCTATAGATAGATAAAAATTCCTTTTATTATTTCTATGCGATAGTTTTCAAGGAATAAAAGAATAACTGTAATTATTTTCGAAATCTTTATTTAACGATCATTGAAGGTGATTCTTTTTACTTTATTTTCCACATTCGAACTTCATTTTAGTATTTTCAGGTAGTAAAACTATAGTTCTTTTATGTGGCTAGACGTACAGGGTTTACCAATCTCAGCACTTTCTACTTGTAGATTAAAATAGATTCTCATTTTAGAATCATTTTAGGCATCCTTTGAAGGAAAATATTGAAAATCTCCTTCGCATTTAATCCCAACAAACTTTAACAAGTTAGAATATTGTTATTAAATTCTTCAGTTAGGTTTAAGTCAGTCTTTTAGTCCATTATTTACATATTAATATTTATTAAGTGTTAAATTATTGATGGTTAGAAAATATTTCAATTACATTATTAATAAATTAAATTCGGTTTTTAATGGGCAATCAATCAGTTTAAACTTCTATGGTATGCTCAATCATTTGACACCACTTTGATTGGAGTTTACCGTAGAGTGCTAAATTTTCTTTTTATTTTGCTGAAATTCAGTTACTCCTTTAGATTCCTTATATAACTATTTCGTTTCCTGTCACGTAATTTTTGTGTAGCTTACATAACAATTCAAATTTTTTTTTCTTTTTCTATTTTTAGCCAGCCAAAAACAAAATGACGATATTAAAAACATATTATTGGCTATCACCATTAACTAAAATATTACAATAAAATTCAATAAAGATTTTAATGATGCTGTTATAACAAAGAACAATGATAAAAAAAAATGTAGTAAGTGAAAGTGATTGAAAATTTAAAAAATCAAGATAAAACGAAGATTAAAAAATATTGATGGAAAAATACCAGAAAAACTAAAACAATCGTAAAGAAAGAAAAAGGAGATGATGAGGAAATATATAGGATCATAAAATGTTGAGGGCAATTGAATAAAGCTATTATTTGATATCCTTAATTGCTTAAGAATTTCATAAAAATACAGATTTTTGTTGGTACTCCCAAAGGAATAATGCTTGTAAGTGGCAATGAAATAAATGGAAGAAGAAAAATCATACAAGAGCAGAGGAAATTTAAAATTAAGGAAAATTGATGAAGAAAAAGTTTTCACGTTAAAATTTTTTTTCCTCTATTTTGGTATATTTTATTGTTTTGCTGATGAGGATATCGTTTTTCTCGACCCTTCATTGGAGAAAATTACCATTTTCTCCGTGTTTACTATCATTAACTTCTTTGAATCCATGATTCAGAGCTTAAAATTTTTCAATTTTTTGAAGGGCATTACAAAAATCTTCTCTATTTAATTCTATATTACTTAAATAATGAAATAAAATGACAATAATGAATATTATTTCTCGTTTTCACTAAGAAAATATTATTATTATTATGAAAACAACAAGTTAAAGAGTACCATGGGACTAGTTTTATTCCTATGAATATGCTCAAAAAAGGGGGATCTATCTAAATTTAGTTCAGCTGGTACCTACAATCGTTTATAAAGGGAACTGTTTACCATCACGTTTATTATTGTTTTTGTTTTTCGTTTTTTGTAATTTTTTCAACTTGCAACCCTCCTGAAATGATGAAAACGTAATAAAATGTTATTCGTCATTTTGCGGTTTAAAAATGAATACAAATTTTATGTTTTTCAATTTATATTAAGGACAAATTACAAAAAGCATTAAAAAATATACTTGTTCTATTTGAATAGGAAAGATGAGAAGAGGCTAATGGAAGGTCTTTATTAAAATTTTGAAAAAAAAGGAAAATTTTTGGACATAAAAATATTGATTCTATATAGACCTTATTTTGATATTTTATGAATTAATGTAGAGCAACGTACAAAAAAATACGAAGGAAATTTATTAAAAACCATTAAGAAAAATGGAAAATATTAAAGAATTAGAAATTTAATTTTTGAATTTTTATTAAATTTTTTTATTTTTTAAAAAAGATTTTGAATTTTATCGTTTTTTCTTAAACGTATTTAAATAATATTCGCTTTCATCTTACATCAAATTATTAATGTGTATTCAAGGACATTAGGATTGTTAAGTAACGACTAGGAAGAGAAAAATCAAAATATTAAACATTTTTTGAAATGGGAAATTAAATAATTTGTATTTTCTTAACATTAAACGAAATAATAGGGCTCTTTTACTTTTTGTTGGGCAAAATGTTGTTTGATTATTCTTTGTATTTTGGGGTTGTTATCAAATTTTTGAATTTTATATAAAGTATTTTCAAATGATTAATTACATCAATTACAAAAGTTTTATGGCATAATTATTGTATTAAATTTATTACTTAATAATTTATATGTAATACAAGGGTAAACTTAATTTGCAAATTGAGATTCCCTGTTTCTTATAGAATAACATATTTTTTATGTAAGAGTCTTAATAAAAAAATATTAAAAAAAAATAATTTGGAAATTTTACAAAACCCCGCAATGTGTGCAGATTATGATACAAAAAAGCGCCATTTAAATTACATACTTAGTTTTTTAAAAAATTAATTTTGAATACTAAATTTTGACTGACAAGTTTCAAATATTTTTGAGCGTATCTATTCTAAGATTGTTTGAAATATTAAAACTCAAGAAGAAAGAAAAACAGTCGCGTATGATCCGTGGTTTATCATGATACCAAAAGAATTGCATTTAAGTTCAGTTTAAAATATTTAAGATAGATTTATTAAGAGTTTTCAAGGCTCTAAGGAAATTAAAATTCAGAAAATTCTTGAAATTTTTCATTGCTTTGGTCTTACAAAAAATGTAATACCCGCCCGCTTTGCTATACTCTATAGTATAGAGCCTATACCTATTGCAGTGACTTATAGGGGGTTAAAATTAGTTTCTAGAAATTTCTCTAGCAAAAGTTCAAAAATGTAAAATGTTAAATTATTTAAAATGGTAGGCAATATATCATTTTTTTTTTCGATTTTTTTTTTTACATTTTAATTATGATAATGATATTTTTTTAACAAAAAAACAGAATTCTTAAATGAGAACATGAAAATTCAACGGGAAATTATAAATAATTTTCATTGAATGAATAAAATATCGAAGAAATTATAAAGATATCCGTTCTTTTATTTATTTCAATTTAATTTAAAAAGATATAGATTCTATTGAATAAAAAAAAATGTGTTTGGGTATGGTTGAATGAAATTTCATTATTACCAGCTATTATTTTATAAAAAAAAAATTAAAAATTTAATAATTACAAATTTGTAATTTATTACCATGTTAGAAAAGGAAATTAAATTCATTTATTAATTATTATCATTATTACTTTACAACAACAATTTATTGTTAATTACAAATAAAAAGGCAAAAAGAATTTAAAATTCATTATTAAGTGTTAAAATATTCCAGGAAAAAATTATTGAATTCAAAGTTAAATTTAATTATATTTAAATTTATAATCGATTAAGTACATTTTTTAATTAATACAATTAAAATTCAAAGAATTTTGTGGTTTTTTAATTAGTAATAATGAATTTAAAGAAATTCCTTAAAAAATTCTATGTCTACCTCAAATATAATATAAAATTTAATTAATTATTCACGCTATTTTTTATTTTTAGAACGATTGCGTATTACTTTTGGAAGACATTGTCTGCGAGACATGTTAGTAAATGCGGAAAATTATAATGGAAAGAATCTACTTTTCAAAAATATACAACATACGAGTTGTACTGGCTTAGTATAATTAATACTAATTAACGAAATACTAATTTACTATCTTTACGAAATGGAAAAGAAGTAATTGAAAATAAAATTCCAGAGAAAGTCTTGAAAATTGAGATAAATAAGCTTTCGGAAGATATTGAAAACTTAACAACTTAAAAGATGTTCTAACTTGGAGTAATTTATTAATAACAAAGATCTTTGCGAAATTGAAAAGAAGTGGTTGAAACCAGATTTCCAGTTAAAGTCTTTAAAATTCAGAAGAAAAGGTTGCAAACTTAAAAGATGCAACTTGCATGTTTAGCAAAAAAACTAAAACAATTAATGCGGACTGCTTAAGAAAATCAGATCGCTCCAAAATGAGACTTAAAAAGCGAATAAAGCAGGGCATGAAATTTAATAATTTATTTCCATTAAAAAGGAGGAATAGCTTTTTGAAAATAATAAGAGATATGAAGTATGGGAAAGGAAAGAACAAATTCTGAAGGTATAAGATAATTTTCGATTTCTCAAATATCTAAGGTAATAACAAAGAAAATTTAAAATTGAGAATTTAATTAAGTCAAAACAAACAAAACTTTTCTTAGACTTTAAATGTCTTTTATAATATTATACTTTATGCCCCGGTATTTTAATGTTCAAAGTGAAATATAAACCATTTTTTTATACTACCAGTAATAACAACAACGGTAAAAAAAGCTTTAAGATTTTTATTCTTGTCTCAAATATCCCAATTTTATTTTCTTAAAATGAAGAAAAAATATTATTTGCAATGTAGAGAAAATATAGAAATTACAAGATTTTAATATACCAGATTTTATATAGTAAATATACTAATATCTATGTGTGTATGAATGTATAAAATACACAACATTATTTCACATCATGGAAAATAATGCCATACTCCCTTAGGCATCATATAATAATCATTTTTCCCCCTTTTTCTTTTTGTCTCTTATTTTGTTATATTTTCGTTTTAATATCGTAGGTTCCCACATACATACGGCAATTTTGCTGTTTCGCCGCCACTTTATATCCTTGTTATAACTGTATACTCGTTAAATATCCTACTTCTTGTTATGCTATATGTATACTCGTAAATTTGCCAAAATAAAAATTTCGATTTTATGAAAATGTAAAGAAAGAATAAAAAAATATGAAAAAAAAAATATTTTGAAATATTTTGAAATGCAACTTTTTTTACAAGGATATTCGTCGTGCATACTTCTATATACTTATACAATAATGTTTATATGATATAACTACACCGTTTTTATAGTGCATGTCTATAGGTAAAAATTAATCTTCCATTTAAAAGTTCTTATTACAAAAATCTTTGTTTTCTTTTAATATTTTTCCTCTACAAAATTTTCTTCTGTTCCTTATATTTCAAATACTTTTGAATGTCTCACACAATTTTTACAAGTCAAAATTCAATAATAATATCAAATTTTCAACAAATATATTGTACCTATAGAATAATAATGTGGATAAGAGAAGAATTTCTAAGAATGAAATTGTTCAACTTATATGAAACAGCAAATATGATACCAATATTTTTTTGATCCTGATTTGTAAAAATTTTTGAGAAAATCCTTGAGAAACATAGGTTTGTTACATTTATACCTACATATTAATATCAGTGATCGTGTATTAATTTTTTAAAAACCATAATTCTTTGTTTAGTAAAATTTTTTTATAGGTATAAATTGTAATATAGAAGTTGATCCTTAAGGCTGTTTCGAAAGCAATTATAGAAAACGTAACAAAATATTTTTTTTAATACATTTTAAGATTAATTATGTTTTAATTAATGACGATATTTTTTAGGATAATAAGACGCATGGGTCAAATTTGTTGAAAAAATGGGTACAATTTTATTGAAAAACCATATGATCAACCTGTTCTTATTTTGTGCTGATTAACTTGAATTTAAAAAACCATTTTCCATGAGCCACGACGAAAAAAAAATATTAATGCAAGACTTTCTACCTCTTGTGCATAAAAATTGAATATCGAAAAAAAGATTAAAAAGTTGCCAA